ACAATGTTTAAAATATAATTGGGGGTCAGCGAGATGGTTCAGTGGTTAAGAGCATTGGCTGCTCTTGCAGAGGACATGGGTTCAGTTTCCAGCACCTATATGGCTGCTCACAACCATCTGCAATTCCAGTTCTAGGGGATATGGTGCCTGCTTTTTGCTTCTGTGGCACAAGACATGCATGTGGCACACAGATGCAAACAAAACACTCATACACACAAAATAATAACAAATTAATATTAAAATATATACAGTTTACGTTACTGCCAAAGATATCACACAATGTGGTTACAGGACACAGAGGAACTACTCTGGAATTGAGCTGGGAGCTTCTCTTTGGAAGCTAATAGAGCAGGAAAGTGCCATGTAGGCATTTGGGGGGAGTCTTACCACGTGGTAAGGTCAGTGGTCTTACCCGAATCTGGACCCTAAATATTACAATAGTAACCTTCCAGGCAAGATGGACTCACTGGTTGCTGTTTGGTGGGTAAACAACCACCTTCTGCTTGAATTTGAAGCCTCTCCATGGAGGGAGTAAAATCTATGTTCTGTAAACTTGGTGAAAAAGACTCTGATATTTTGCCAAGCAGACACATAGTCAAACTGCTTTCTGGATATTTGTGATCATATCTGTAGATTAGTGCTGGTGTTGACCTTGGCCAGAGAAGAAACTCCTAACTGGTCAAAGGGCTGAGGATAAGTGACTGTGGGTGCTCATCCTTAAACATGACATTGGAATCACCCTCTGCAAGGCCCAGGGAGCACTGAAGAAGAATGCTTTGTAGCAGGCTTTTTCAGCCCACCAGCCCCCAAATCATGACATGGAGACTTATTATTACTTATGAATAGGCTCAGCCTTAGTTTAGGCTTGCCCTACTAGCTCGTATAGCTTATTTTAACCTGTTTCTCTTTATCTACATTTTGTCTCGGGACTTTTCACCTTTCTCTCATACTGCATGTCCTGCTTTCCTGCTTCCTCCTTCCTCCACGTTTGGCTGGCTGGTGGTTGTCTGGCTGGCCTCAGGCAGCTCTCTCTTCTTTCTTGTTCTCTTCTCTCTTGAGTTTAGATTCTTCCCCTTACTTATTCTCTCTGTCTGTCAGCCCCACCTACCTCTCTACTGCCTAGCTGATTGACTGTTCAGCTTTTTAGTAGACCAGCCAGGTGCCTTACACAGGCAAGCTGAAACAAATGTAACGCATCTTTACATACTTAAACAAATGTAACAATCCTCACATAGTTAAAGTAATATTCCACAGCATAAAGAATGTAACAATCTTTGCATAGTTAAAGTAATATTCCACAACATGAACAAATGTAACAATCTTTACATAGCTAAAGTAATATTTCACAACATGAACAAATGTAACAATCTTTACATAGTTAAAGTAATATTCCACAACATGAACAAATGTAACAATCTTTACATAGTTAAAGTAATATTTCACAGCATAAACAAATGTAACAATCTTTACATAAAGTAATATTTCACAGCATAAACAAATGTAACAATCTTCACACAGTTAAAGTAATATTTCACAGCATAAAAGATGTAGCAATCTTTACATAGTTCCACAACAACCGGTGGAGTGTTGAAGGATGGAAGGAGTGCTGTGAAATGCTGTCCTCTGGGCCTGATGTCACTACTGCACTTGTAAACACACAGCACCTGTGACATGAAAGTAGGGAGACTAGTTGAGAAGAGGAGGGTTAGCGAGATTGAGATGAGCATGAGAGCGGGTGGTGGGGCTGGATGTGACAGTACATTGCGTGTGTGTGTGTGTGTGTGTGTATACATACATACATACATATATATATATATATATATATATATATATATATATAATTATCAAAAAGAAAAACAGATTTTAAAATCTAATTGGAAAAGAGGTTGGAATGTAGCTTAGTTGGTAGAGTGATTGCCTGGGTGGACCCCCAGCACTACATAAAACTACATGTGAAGGTACATATCTGTAATTCCAGAAGTTTTGAAGTGGAGGCAGACAGATCATGCTTGAGTTCAAGGTCATTCTCAGCTACCTAGCAAATTCAAGGCCAGCCTGGGATGCACGAGAATAAACAAATAAATCCATAAAAGTGAAGGGAAGACTATTTATTCACATAACAAAAATAATGTTGATAGTTTGGTATGTGATGGTCCGTTTTATATGTATGTGTATATGGTTTAATCTTCTTTTGTCTTTTCTTCATTTTTCTGGTCTTTTCAAAACAAGGTTTCTCTGTGTAAACTTTGCAGTTTGGAACTCACTCTATAGACCAGACTCGCTTTGAACTTACAGAGCCAGGCTCTGCCTCCTGAGTGCTGGGATTAAAGGTGTGAGCCACCATGCCTGGCCTCTATAATCTTTTTATAAAAAGTGAAATTCTCTACCTACTTCTTGTAGCCAGCTTGTTTTAAGTCATGTTTTCCCCTGCCGTCAATTATCCATTATCTCCATATCTGTCAAAGAGCTAGACTCTCAATAGTGTAAGAATAGTCATAGAATGGAAAAGGATGTTTGAAAATAATATCTTTGAAGAGATAGTATATCTGGAATATGTATATATAAACAATCAGACTAAAAAGTGGACAAAAAGGAGCTGGAGCAACAGCTCAGCCGTTAAAAAAACCCACTGCTCTTGCAGAGGACCCAAGTTGGATTCCCAACACCTATATCATGTGACTCGCTGCCACTTGTCACTCTAGTCCCAGGGAATCTGATGTCTTATAGCCTCTGCACATAACTAAAGAATAAAAGTTAAAGAGTTTTTTTTTGTGTGTGTGTATATGTTTGTTTTTGTTTTGGTTTTTTGAGACAGGGTTTTTCTCTGTAGCTTTGGAGCCTGTCCTGGAACTAGCTCTTGTAGACCAGGCTGGCCTCTAATTCACAGAGCTCCATCTGCCTCTGCCTCCCGAGTGCTGGGATTAAAGGTGTGCACCACCACTACCAAGCAAAAGTTAAAGTTTTTACAGTGAACTTTGCTTTTCTTTTTTAAATAGGCAAAGGACTTGAATAGTAAGAATGTGATAAGACACCCAACTTCTACAATTATCAGGAAAATATAAATTAAAATACCTGGAGAACAGCTGTGATAAAAATAACTAGACAGAAAACAATGGCTGCAGATGAAGGATATGGAGAAATTAGAATGTTTACATCCTGTTGGTGGTAATATAAAACAGTGCAGCCATTTTGGAAAATGTTATAGAGATCATTCAAAATAGAGACCATCGCCACATGACCCAGCCTTAGAACTCTTGGGCCTGCATGCTAGTTACTTGCCTCACTGCTGTGACAAAATCCATGATGGAAGGAACTTAAGGAAGGCGGGGTTTATTTTGGCTCATGGTTTTAAGGGCTACAGTCCATCATGTTGGAGATGGCACGGCAACAGGAGTAGATCTAGCTGTAATGGCTGAACAATGAGCCACACTTCATCCTCAGGAAGAAGAGAGAGAGATGAACCCATTGGTGTTCAGCTCACTTCCTCCATTTCCTTGTTTTTATTCAGTCTGAGGCCCCAGGACATGGGAGGGTGAGGGCTCACATTCAGGGTGGGTCATCCTTCCTCAGTTAAACCTCTTTGGAAGCAACCTCATAGAAAAGCTCAGAGGTGTGTCCCGCAGGTGATTCTAAACCCAGCAAGGTCAACAATCAAGATTGACTGTCACCACCAGATCCAAGAGAATTGAAGACAGCATCTCAATGTGATATCAACACACCCATGCTTATTGTCCGCATGTGCCCAGAGCAAATAACAGCCAAAAGGCCTGTTAGTAAATGAGTGGTATATCTGCACAATAGGAGATATTCAGCATTGAACATAAAGGAATTCTGTCATCTGCTAGAAGGTGGATGATCCTTGTGGACATGGTGTTAACTAGAATAAAGCAATCCCAGACTAAAAATGCCTCATGATTCCACTCAAGTACATTAGCAAAACTCATTGGGGGGGAGGGAAGTAAAATGGTGGTATCCAGGGCCTGGTGGGGTGGGGGATTGTGTGCAGTGGGCTTAGAGTCTGAGTCTTGCAAGATGAGAATGTTCTAGAGATCTGTTGCCTTTGCAGTGTGCATACCCGCTCTGCACTGTGCACTGGAAACCTCATGGGAAAAGCATGTTAGGCTTCTATTTTTCCCCAACCACAGTTAAAGCAGAAGAACCCTTTGATAAGGGGCCATTCTTGCTGTGTCCACCTTTCTGACTCATGCTGTTGGTAGTTGCTCTGACGAGCTACCCTAACCCTGACTTCCTCTGCAGAGCGGATGTTGCAGTGCAGGTCGTGAGGACCCAGGTCGGGAGGCACACTGCTCTCTCTGCCTGCCTTGCTCTCTCTGCTACTCTCCACTCTCTGTTACTCTCCCCTGGCTAACCTCTGGTTAGAACCAGCATGCCATGCATCTATGTAGGCCACAGTTCTATTTAAGGGTGTGTGGCCTTCTGCTTCCGGCCCTGGAGCAAACACACCTGCTGGGAAATGCAACCCCAGATCCCGGGGTGAAGTCATGGATGTCTGAATTCTCTTCTCTCCAGCCCCTGGGCCTGTCAGGTTTCTCAGAAGTGCATGCTAGGGGTGGCCTCAGTGTCCAGGACAGACAGAGGATGGATGCCTGCTCCACGCTCCCTGAGCTCTCTGTGACAGAGTCATAGTATAGACTAGCCACACCACTGGGTCCCTTCTTTTTCCCTGTGCTTTAGTCTTAGACTCTGCACAAGCTTTCTCGTCAAGGGACACGCTGCTGTCTTTCTGCAGCTTGGGTTCCCTTCTGGCGGTTCTCACCCCAGGCTGACCGTGGCGGGTGGAAGGCATAGGGCAGGTGAGGATGTATAGGAGGAGCGAGATTCTAGTACTGCAGGTGTGATGATAGCTAGGGGGTACTGAGCAGGGTCCCCATGGTGTGCAGAGTGGAGATCATGCCTGGCCAAGCCCTCTGGGCACCAGCCTCACTCACTACCCACTGAGGACTTAAAGATGTTTCTGGAACGAGAGTCCAGACTCCAGTCTAAGGGGCAATGTCTTTGTCCAGAATTTCAGAGTCCGAATTGCTGCTGAGAGTGTGTCTCCACTGTTCCTCGGGGACCTTCCGAGTTGACCTCTTCAGCCAGAGGACAACACCAGCCAAGATGAGCAAGGCAGGCACCTTCAGAAATGCCAGGATTATGTAGTGTGTCCTATGAGAAAGATACAGCCATCAGGGCCCCATGCCTTTGAATCCCATGATGCCCCATCCCCAACACTGGTAAGTCAACAGCCAGCTCACCACAGCCTGATACTGAAGGCTCACATCCTACTTGGAAGATCCCCCAGGGCCTTCTCCAAGGACCGTCCAACCATGAGGGCTCCTCGATGACCATGTGGTCTTAGTATGGCTTGTCCCTGTCCCAATTTTACATTCAGGGGTGGAGTTCTCCTTTCCCTCCTCCCAGCAGAAACCTGGAGTTCTCCACATCTGGGCTGTGTCTGCTTACTCTGCCCTCAACATTCGCTCCAGGCTGGCAGATCTCTCCCTGCCCTGTTTCTGTGATGAGACTGGAACCTTATGGGATCATCTCTTCCCTTGATGCCACCAGGGCTGGGTAGTGATGAACAGCTCTACAGAGTAGTTTTCTGGTGGAGCTGGAATGGGACCATGGTGGGGGTAAGGAAGGTGGCCTTGAAACCTTGAATCTTGACTATGACAATCATTGGCACCTGATGATAGAACCTGGGTTTGGCACCCCGGTAGGAAGAACCCATGTAGAGGGAGCAGAAGGGACTTCAGGACTCACCTCTTATATAAGTCAGAAGAAATCACATGTGTGTTGCTATCCATAGAGGATTCTAGCTGGGAAGACATGGTATCTCTTCCCTCTAGACATAAGCAAAGATGGCCACAGGTTATGGAACAGATTGGGGGTGGTTCATGCATGGCTCATGTTGGCACCCCATCCAACCATCCCTCACTGGGTGTCTTAGTTAGGGTTATTATTGCTGTAATGAAGCACCATGACCAAAACAAGCTGGGGAGGAAAGGGTTTATTTGGCTTACACTGCCATGTCCTAGTCCATCACTGGAGGAAAGAAGGACAGGAACTCAAGCAGGGCAGGAACCTGGAGGCAGGAGCTGATGCAGAGGCCATGGAGGGTGCTGCTTACTGGCTTGCTCCCCATGGCTTACTCAACCTAGTTTCTTTCTTTCTTTCTTTCTTTCTTTCTTTCTCTCTCTCTCTCTCTCTCCCTCCCTCCCTCCCTTCCTTCCTTCCTTTCTCTCTTTCTATCTTTCTTTCCTTTCCTCTTTCTTTCTCTCTCTCTCCCTCCCTCCCTTCCTTCCTTCCTTTCTCTCTTTCTATCTTTCTTTCCTTTCCTTTCCTCTTTCTTTCTTTCTTTCTTTCTTCTTTCCTTTCTTCTCTCTCTCTCTCTTCCTTCCTTCCTTCCTTCCTTTTTCTTCCTTCTTTACTTCTTCCCTTTCTTATTTTTCCTTCCTTCCTTCCTTTCTTAAATGATTTTTCTTTATTCTTTTCTTCTTTTAAAAATTTTCTGTGCATCGGTGTTTTGCCTGCATATGTGTCTGTGTGGGAACTGGAGTCACAGACAGTTGTGAGCTGCCATATGTGGGCCTTGGGAATTGAACCTGGGTCCTCTGGAAGAGCAACCATTGCTTTTGACTGCTGAGCCACCTCTCCAGCTCCTCATCCTGTCTTCTGATTTTTTTTTTGGTTTTTTTTTTTTTTGGTTTTTCGAGACAGGGTTTCTCTGTGGTTTTGGAGCCTGTCCTGGAACTAGCTCTTGTAGACCAGGCTGGTCTCGAACTCACAGAGATCCGCCTGCCTCTGCCTCCCAAGTGCTGGGATTAAAGGCAATCCTGTCTTCTTGTAGAACCCAGAGCCACCAGTCCAGGGGTGGCACTGCCCACAATGGGCTGAACCCTCCCACATAAATCAATAGTTAAGAAAAAGCCCTACAGGCTTGCCTGCAGCCTGATCTTACGGAGACTTTTCTCTATGGAGGTCCATCTCCTCCAGTGACCCTGGCTTGTGCCGAATTGACATAAAACTATCTCCTGGATCAGGAAGCCCCATCTCTCTGATACAGTCCTTTGGCTTCTATTGAGCTGTCGGATTCCCCATACAGTCATTTCCTTCATCATTTTTATTAATAGGATATATGACAGGGAGATATGGAAATCAAGGAGGAGAAAGACTGTAGTTAGTTCTGGAGGAGGAGACACCCACAGTCTCTTTCCACTTGTTTTGGCTGGGGGGATGAACCTCTGTTCCTTTCCGTTCAAACAGTGCCCAAGTAAGGCTCAAGGACCGATGATCTCAGAAACAAGTCTCTAGTGGCCAGGGTGGTGAGTGACAGAGGGGCTCCTGAAGGTGGCTGAGCAAGAAGGCACATGCTACCTATATCATGAATGGCTCTGAGGAAGGAAATGTCACAGAGAGGAAACTACGGGCGGTTTGTAGTGGGTGGCTGGGTCATGGATTCCTGAGCCCAGCTGGGCATGAGCTTTTCTGGCTAGTCCTTTGGGCTAGCTCCTGACCCACCAAACCCTTCTCGCAAAGGTTTCGGGTTTTAATAACACTTGGAAGCTGAGCAGAACTCTGGGGAGCTCTAGTCCTTGCAGTCCTCCAAGAGGCCACAGTCACCATATAGGCTGGTGTTCCCCCGTCCCCCTGGACACTTCAAGCTCAGCATGGGGCACATTCTTAGGCTACTCTGTCTTTTGCCTACATGTCTTATTCAACCCTCTGTCTCCACAGATCATCTCAGCATCCCCTGAGCGGTATCCCTGGGGAAATCTTTTTTGGGGTGACCCTTTCTGCACCTCACATCCCCTAGGAGGCAACGTTTGTAACTCATTGGTTTCAACCCCGTCACCCCATGGGCTAACTTCATTGCCAGCGCTGTGTTTGCCTGCTGCCTTCTCAGGAGCCAGCATGTGCGCCGGGCTGAGGAAGCTCTGAGCATGGGTGGAAGTGGGGAGGGCTGCTTTTTGGGAACCAACAGAAGACCCTGGAGTCCCTCAATGAGGATGAGGCAGGAACAAGCCAGGAGAACCAGGGACATCTCTGATTTTGATTTAGTAACCAAAGCCTCCGTTTAAAGCATCTACTTAACACTTGCAAGCCTCCTGGGTCTTCCTTACCCCATGCTTAGTCTTCTGTAGTCAGAAAAAGCAGAAGTGGTCACTCGGAAAGTTCAGGCCCTCCAAAGTGCCCAGAGTCACTGTGGTTTGGCTAGGCCTGGCCTTCAACCCTGCAGCCCTCCCCAATGATGCCTTAGCTCACCCCCCCCCCGTCCCATGTAAATCACAGGACAAGGGTACAAGTTTTAAAAAACTAGAAACTTCTCAGCCTGCAGTGCTGAGGGCTTCTTCAGGCATCCAAGACCTATTCAAGGCTCCAGGGGAAGAATGTGAGTTTCCAGGGATGTGTAGCTCCAGGATGCAGGTAGCAGGGCTCGGCCATGGCTCCCAGAGGGAGATGTCAAAGCCCCAGCCCTACACCAACATCTGCCAGTCAGGACTCACGTCCGCTGAATTCCTTAGAGTGACCCCAGGAGCTAGCATTGATAAAAGTGTTGGGGTGCTATTCTTCCTTACTTCTGTCACTGCCCTGTCCCATCTGTCTGTCTCTTAGATTCCCAGTCCTTTAGTCCCAAGCACCAGAACTTTGTGGTAACCCACAGGCCAATGCTTACCTGGGTAAACGGTCACTTTAACTCTGGTCCCACGGTCAGTTCCAAATTTTTCAATACCACACCAGTAAGTGTCTGTGTCATTTTGCCTGAGCATCTCCATGGTAACCAGGAGCAAGTTCTCTCTCCAGTTGTCCCTGATGGACAACCGGCCACTCTTCCTTTCTTTCTCTGATCCCGTGGTTCGAATGAGGACCCTGCAAGTCTTCCAGTTTGCTCCTCGACACCACCACTTGTTGTAGGCTTGCCATCTGGAGCTATAGTGACATTGAATGGTCACTGACCCCTTCTCTGGGCCTCTCACCCATGCTGGGCCTTGGATGGCGAAACAGCCTGGAAAACAGGAGGACAAGATATGGCTTCTGCTCCTCTAAGCCAACCTAACGACCAAAGGATTAGAGAAGGGTCCTGCTCACTCCAGCCGCCGTGACCCACTTGGATCCTCCTCACATCTGTTTCCTCTGAGGTCCAGTGTGCTATTAACCCCTGCATGCCCATGCCCTGGCCTCTCCAGACTTTATCTCCCCAGGCCTCCTGTATCATGTGACACTTCTGATTTCCTGACACCTTTTCCTTGTCCTCTTGGTACGGTTCTTATCTGATCGCCTCCCTTCCCTGACTAGTCCACTCTGTGACCTTTCTCTTTCTTCTCTCTGGATCTTAGAGTGACACGCTGGGAAACGGTCAACCGTCTTCTATCTAGGTAATATCCCTCCCTCTTAGCAACATCTGCCAATCTCTGTGGTATAAATGTCCCTTACTGAGACTGACATCAGGCTATCAGTGAGCACTGAGCTGAGTTGAGATGTCTCAAACCAAGTCTGGCGAGCCATTTCGAGCTGGTTCTATATGCACCTGGGGAAATCTAGGGCGTGAGTTACCTTCCTCCCAGCTGTGACAAAACTGCCCGACCAGCAACCTAAGGAAGAAAGCAGGGTTTTGGTTTTGTTTTTATTTTCAAAATTCTGGTTTAAGGGCTGCATCCATCATGGCAGGGACCGTATGGTGGTGGGAATATGAGGTGGCTGGTCACGTTGCGTCTGCTGCCATCGGGAAGCAGAGAAGAATGCTGGTACTCAGCTGCCTTCTCATGAAAAGAAAATATCCAGCCCAGACTCCCAACCCATGGCGTGGTTCTACATACACTCAGGGTCATCTTCCCTCATCATGTAAGTCCCCAGAAAGACCCTCACAGGTATACCCAGATGCGTGTCTCCTAGGTGACTCTAATCTGACCGTGAAGCATCACACCCAGCGCCCTCTCTCTAGCCTTCTTGCCTCCACAGGAGGACACCCCATGTCTATGGTTCTAATTAATGCCTACAATCTGATGGTTTCCAAGAGACACTTGTAACCCAAATGCTGCCCTTGGTTCTAGACCATCATTCCAAACAACTGCTATGTAATAGCACTTCTGACACAGAGCCCGCTCTGCTTCCTGTCTCTAACAGGGGCCAGAGGAACCAGAGTCCAAAATAGGTTGGAATGTGTATCCTGCTCGTCTGTGGAGTGACACCCTTTCTGCACGGTGACCTGTGTTCCCAGTCACCTGGAGGCAGACAAAGAGGCAGAGAGCTGCTGCAGGGAAAGGCTTTCTTGACCAGCTCTCAGTCTTAGACTGGTCTCTGCGAGTGGGGCGCATTTGCACAAGAGCCTGGTGCCGTCCCTCACACCTTGGGCCTTCTCCATAGAGCTAATTTAGTTTGTATTTGAGGTCTGCGTCTGTGCTTGACAGAATAACCCTTCTTCACAGACCCTTTATTTAATTGATTTATTTAGAGACAGGCTCTTACTATGTAGCTCTGGCTAGCCTGGAATTCACTGTGCCAGTGGTTCTCAACCTTCCTAATGCTTCAACCCTTTAATACAACAGTTCCACATGTTGTGGTGAGCATCAACCATAAAATTATTGTTGTTATTATTATTATTATTTTGAGATAGGGTTTCTCTGTGTAACAGCCCTACCTAACCTGGAACTAGCTCTTGTAGACATGTCTGGCCTTGAACTCACAGAGTCTTTGCCTCCTAAGTGCTGGGATTAAAGGTGTGTCCCACCACTGCCCATCCATAAAATTATTTTTATTGTAACACCATAACTGTAATTTTACCTTTGCTTTGAGTTATAATGTAAATATCTGTGTTTTCCAACGGTCTTAGGAAGCCCCTTGGAAAGGGTTGTCCACTGCACTACATAGACCAGGCTGGCCTTGAACTCATAGACACATGCCTGCCTCTGCCTACTAAATGACTATTGACATTCTAGTACCCAACCTATTACTATGTACCCTTACACAGAAAAGGGGAGGCCGGTGAGACGGGTACATGGGTAAAAGTTCTTGTGAAACCTGAGTTCAACCCTGAAACCCACGTGAAGGTGGAAAGGGGAAACTGACTTCACGAAGTTGCCCTCTGACCCCACACAAGCTCTGTAGCAGGCACGTGCACACCAATGAAAATAAGAAAATAAAATGGCCCTTCAACTACAGACACACCCCCGTCTGTAGTTTTAAAAAAAAGAATAAAGGCATTTCCAGGTATGATTAGGGATACTGAGTTAAGATTGTGCTGGGTTATTCTATGAGTCCTGATGAATGGTTTAGGTCTGAAGGCATTCTGTTGCAGGCCTTGAAGAGGAGGAGAGGCCATGGGCCAAGAGACTCATGGGGGCTTTCGGATGAAGCCCGGAAATGGATGGTTCTCCGGAGCTACAGAAGGAACTCCACCTTGACTTTGGCCAGTGAGACCATTTTGGACTCTTGATCTTGGACCAGCAGGATAAAGTGATGTTCTGAGCCACTGCATTTGTGGTCACTGGGTATAGCAGCCACAAAAGGCACATAAAAGATTCTGCCAGACCCCCTTGTAAGCCCTGAGCTCACTCCGCTTGGGGACCACATTGGAGAATTAGCATCTATATTGATTTCTCTTCTCCTTCCCTCCGCAAGTGACTGGTCGCCAGTTCAGCCAACTGCACCCTGAAAATGCCGATCTGAACCGTCTTCTTTACATCTTTGTTATCACAGCCCATGAGACGTCACGACAGAGCAGAGAAAGTGTGAACTTTGCCAGCAGATGGAGACGCGTCTACCGTGGTGTTATTGAGAAACCCTGGGGAGGTTACTTAACCTCGCTGAGCCTCACTTCCCCCTAGCACAGCTGCCATGCCTCTTTCAGTCAGATTCTGGCTGTTATAAACCTCACGTAACCGTCTAATGCTAGACATTGGGCTGTTTGGCCGAGACGGCTCTCGTCCGATATCTGGATCGTGGTAGTAGCATTCAGAAAGGTCTGGTGCATCCTTCTTTCAATTCAAACTGCTTTCAGGACTGGACTGAGCCTGTCTCCTCATCAGCTGCACCCAGCATGTCAGCTACTCCCCTGCACTCTCAACTGTACCCAGTATGTGAGCTACTCCCCTGCGCCCTCAGCTGCACCCAGCATGTCAGCTACTCCCCTGCTCCAGAGTGACTGGAAAAGCTTCATTCCTGCAATGAATGTCTTATTGCAAACTGGTTTTAGTTTCTCCTTAGTGTCATTCCTTGCTCCTTTTGTAGCCCCCTGAGCCTTTCTTTCCCTAACCCCAATGCGCCCTCTCAAGGCAGTGGACCAGGCTGAGCTCCTTCCCAATGCCTCACCCTCTTCTTGGAGCTGCCTCTTCCTGTTGGCCACTGGCCTTTCGTCTGGAGCCCGATGGCTTTGTATCTCTTTTCCTAACATCCTCCATAGGTTTCTCACTCCCAAAGCCCAGAGGTGCTACGCTTCCTTTCTCCCTTTCCCCATCCCCAACCCCAGGGTCTTGCTCAGTGTCTTGGTCATGGTGGGTACCACTAAAGTTGTTAGCTATTTTTGTGAAGAATTTGTGCATTGTGGTCATGTACACAACCATCCTAGCTCTAGGATTGCTAAAGACAGTGGAGTGGGAATTATCCTCACCACAGATGCAACAGTAAACACCCGGAAAACTCAAAGACCACTAATAGGGAATTAGATTGGGAAGTTCGGATATAGCGATACATAGTTAAAAAGTGAAGAGCATTGTCCAAACAATGACAAGAGTGATCCCAAAGCACACTATTATTAGATTATTTTTTAAAGTTACCTAACAGGGTAGGTGCACACCTTTAGCCCCAGCATTCGGGAGGCTGAGGATCTCTGTGAGTTTGAAGCCAGCCTGGTCTACATAGTGAGCCCCAGGCTAGTCAGGGCTACATAATGAGACCTTGTATCAACAAAAAAGGGGTAGGGGGTGGGTAACTGGAGAGATAATTCAGAGGTCAAGAGCCCTGGCTACTCTTCCAGAGGACGCAGGTTCAATCCTGAGCTTCAGCATGGTCATTTGCAACCATCCATGACTCTAGTCAGGAATTTCTTTCTAGTTTCTGCAGGTGCCAGGCACACGCATGATGCACTTACACACATTCAGGCGGAACACCCATACACATAATACAATAAAAATTGAAATTCCTTCTGTGAACAATCTCAGTGCATGGCTTCTTATGAATGTAAATGTGAGTAGAGGATCGTGGAGGTATGGACCGAGTGTGACTGTACATAGATGTGTGCCTTTGAGTGTCCTGGTGAATGTGTGTGCGTGCATGTGCGTGTGTGTGTGTGTGTGTGTGTGTGTGTGTGTGTGTGTGAACAAATGTGCAAGCCATGCACGGCTCTTCCTGTCCCGCTTGGCCTCTGGGAAAGCCTAACGTTGAGATGTGGAGAGCAGGCAGCTGGGAGCCCAGAACTCAGACACAAGCTAGGGCATGCAGGCATCTACAGCTGTCAATCATCATTTTACCTTCAGTATTTCCAAACTCACGTTTAGCCAGTGTCCCCTCAGTGTCCTGCCCACTGAGTGCTCCCTCTGCATGGGTGTGCCACCTCTCTAAGCCTGTAGCCCTTTCCCCAAGCTATGCCTTCTCCATGGAGTATCTACTCTGCTTGCTGCAAGGGCTGTCAAGATCTGTCTCCTGGGGCATGGAAGGAACGGGTCCAGGAGGGCTTTCTGTAGCTCCCTCAGTGGTAGCCTCTCCCTACTCTAAGCTCCTTCCTCTTCTATTCTGTTTTTTTTTTCTGCTGCTAATTCTTATTCTAAAGTATGTCTCACCCATCAGAGTATCTGGGATCTCTGATGGCCACTCCATTTCTCCTTTCCCTTCAGGTTCCCAGGTCCCTGCACATGCCTGGCATGATGTAGGACCAGGGGTCCTTTGCTGAATGAAGCTGCAGAACTTCATGTCCCCGAAGGTGGCAGGCAGCTCTCCTCAAACCCAGGACAGAGTCCCCTGCCTCCTGCTCCGCAGCTGCAGTCCCAAGCCTCCAGACCCTAGCTGAACATACCTGGGAAACTGAGAAGGAGCAGAGCTGGGGTCAGCCACATGGTCCTGCCTCCCTGCTCCACACCCTTGATGGACAGCCAGCAGCAAATCCAAATCCCAGCTGGATACCCAATGCACCCGAGAGCCCAGCTGACCCCTTCTGCTTGTCCAGGTTGCCTGTGGGTGTCTTACTCGCCAGCTTCCTTTTATAGAGTGGGTATTTCCTGCCATCCATTACTCAGCACAAGACGCATCAGCTCTCTGCAGAGCTGGTCACTCAGGAGAAATGAGGAGGCTAGGGAACTGTGCCAGCGAGCAGAGGCAAAGGCGGCAAGCCTGTAGACCAGTGGTGGGGATGGCCAGACTGTCTGGCCTTGGGTTAAGGGGTAGAGCACTCTGGGTGTTAGACCCAGAAGTGATCTAGGCTATAATGATGGGCCCCGGCAGTCTTGTTCCCAGCTCGTGTGCTAGCAGGCTAAGCTCAGCACACCTGGCATTGAATATTGAATGCCCAGTTGATGGTGCTGTTTGAGTAGGTTTAGGAGGTGTCGTCTTGCTGGAGGAAGTGTCTCACTTTGAGGTTTCAAAGCCTCCTGCTATTCCCAACACACTCTCTGCGTCCTATTTGTGGTCCAAGAGATGATCTCTCAGCTGTTCCGTGTCCGCTGCCTGCTGTCATGATTGCCTCCCACGATGGACTCCGACCCCTTTGGAATCATAAGCCCAAATAAATCCTCCCTTCTATAATTTGCCTTGGTCTGATGTTTTACCACAGCAATTGAACACTAACTAATACATAAAAAAAGACAGAAGAATTGGAAATAAAACAAATTTTGTTATAACTGAAATGCCTACATATAAAAATGAAAAGAAATTTCTAAGATTTTAGAGAAGTTGTCATATATATGCTCAAAATATCACTTAACAATAAGTTTTCTTTTTTGTGTGTGGTACTGGTGATCTAAACAGGGTTTTCACATGGCAAGCAAGCATGCTACCATTGAGCCACGTCTCCAGTCTAAAGACACCATTTAAAATAAAAATAAGGGGTTGGAGAGAAGATTCAGTTATTAAGAGCATTTCCCAGTCTTCCAGAACACTCAAGTTCTATTTCCAGCACCCACATCAGAGGCACACAAACGCCTGTAACTCTAGGGATATCTGACACTCTAATCTCACAAGATGCAAAGCTCAAAATAATGAAAATGCAATAATTAAATAAATATAAGGAGCGAGAAAGGTGGTTTATTAAGAAAGAGCTACTTCAGACCTTCATGGACAACTGCACTCAAATGCACATGAACACACACAGTATGTAATTATACATATGTTCACATATATATGTAATTATATGTGATTGTACATACATATGTGTAACTAAAAATTTAAAAATAGGGACTGGAGAGACAGCTCAGTGATTGAGTACATACTGTTCTTTCAAAGGACCCAAGTTTGGTTCCCAACACCTACAACATGTGACTCTCAACCACCTGTAACTCCAGCTCCAGGGGAATCCATCATCTTCTTCTGTTGTCCATAGGCACTTCACTTACATGTGCATGGACATGTGCCTGTGCGTGCGTGTGCCACACACAAATAATTAAAATAAAATCTTTTAAAAAATCTTGAAATAAAAATGCAAGTTATTCAAAATCAAATATAACAAACATATGAACAGGTTTCAAAGAAGAAATAGTTTATTAAGACATTTTATTATTTATTTCAAATTTTGTTTCTTGTGTATCTGTGTGTTTGATGTGTTTGTGAACATGGATGTAGAACACAGCTTGCATCTAGAAGTCAGAGGACAACATCTGGGAGTTGGTTCTCTCCTCCACCATAATTCTGGGCATTGAATTCAGGTGGCCAGGTTTTCACAGTGAAGCTGATCCATCTCACCAACCCTTAAAAAGGTATTTTCCAAGTTCCCAAATAATTGAGATTATAGTCCAGGTCCATAGCTAGGAAAGTTATCCAAAAGGTGCATTTGATGCACTGTGCTAGCTATATTTTATGTCAACTTGACCCAAGCTAGAGTCATCTGAAAGGAGGGAGCCTCAACTGAGAAACGCCTCCATGATAGGCATAACGGTGCACACCTTTATTGCCTGGACTAGCGAGGCAGAGGCAGGTGGATCTCTGTGAGTCCCAGGATGCCACTAGGTTGATATAGAGAGAATATGTCAAGAGACCATCTTGTGTTCTGTTTCATGACAAATGCAAGACGGGGGAGGGAAGAGGAGGAGGAGGAGGGAAGAAAAGAGAAGAAAAGGAAAGAGAGGCTCTACCGTGTTTATTCGCAGAAGGAAAGCTGTGTAATTTTGTGTTGATGTAGACAGCCAGAGGGCAATACAAACAAGATGCATGTTACAGCATCAACACATCAGTGTGCATGAACCTCAGAGGCACAACATCTAATGAGAACACCAAAGGCTTAGAAACAAAGCATGGCTCTTGCCTGTATCTCAGAACTAGGGAGGCTGAGGCTGGAGAATGGGGGGTGGAAACTAGCCTGGGCTACACCGTGAGACTCTGCTAATGAAAGAAAAGGAAGATGGAAAGATAGAAGAATAAAGGGAGTGAGAAATACAGAGACAGACACACAAACACACAGACACAGAGACACACCCACAAATAAACACAGACTGATAGATACACCGACAGACAAATACACCGACAGACAGATAGACAGGCAGCCAGCCAGACAGATAAAGGAAGGGGACTGGGGTGCATCTGATTCCCAGCAACCACATGGTGGCTCACAACCATCCATAATGAGATCTGGTGCCCTCTTCTGGCCTGCAGGCATAACACTGTATATATAATAAATAAATGATTGAAATCTTTAAAAAAAAGTATAACTCTGTTCATATAACGATCAGAAATAAAGGTGCTAAACAAAATGTGCTTGGCCAATCCATGCACATGTATGTGACAAAACTTTAAGGCCAGCAGATAAAATAATACCAGGCTGAGATTGTCACCACAGGGGGTAGAAAGCAGGAATGTGACATCAGAGAGGGGGTGGATCACCAGTATGGACCATGTTCTGTGACTGAATCTGGAGAAGGGCACAGTGCCAAGTGTATTTCCATGTAAGGTGTGTGTATTTAGTGATCACATTGTCAAACTGCCCTCTAAACATCTATGTCTGTACCCTTTGTTTAGTGCTGTCCCCAGCCTTGGTTGGAGAAGCGTCTCTCTGCTGTGATCTAAGTGCCGAGGAAAAGTAACTATTGAGGCTCAGCCCTAAAAGGGACATCTATGTCAAACCCCCACCCTATCCCAATGCACCCCCACCCTATCCCAAGCATCTCCATCCTACTCCAAGGTTTGGTGTGGGAGGTCCTTCTGTCTATGTGTTGCTTTTATTGGTCAGTGAATAAAGAAACTGGTTTGGCCTATAGCATGGTAGAGGGAAGGCAGAGTCAGGGGGAAGCCATGTATCCAAGCTGGGAACTTTAGCTGGTAAGCCACAGCTATGTGGCAATATACAGATTAATAGAAATGGGTTAAGTTAATATTTAAGAGTTAGTCAATAAGAAGCTAGAGCTAATGGGCCAAGCAGTGATTTAATTAATATAGTTTCTGTGTGGTTATTTTGGTTCTGGGCAGCATGGACGAACAAGCAGCCTCCTCCTACAAAGGCTCAGGAACATTATGTAAGGAAGAGGGAGAGGAGAGAATTGGAAGCCAGAGGGGAGGGGGAGAGGGTATGAGATGCTGTGTTCCGGCTGTGCCACGGCCACTGCACTCACAACACCGCGACACTGCGGCTGTAGTCACCTGCAAGCACCAGGTCAGCAAGGTCAGTGAGCATCCCAGCAGGCGGCACTGATTGGACTCAGAGGTTACGTAAAGACGAAGAAGAATGGACCATGAAGGGGGAGGGAGCACCTGCCCGAGGGAGTGGGAGGGTGGGGTTGGAGGTGGATATGATAGAGTTGGGGTGGACATGTGTGAACTTATCTAAGAATAGAGATACTCTATTAATAATATGTATATGTATTTATTGGGCACATTCTTTTATGTGCTTGGCACAGCACAAAGAATCTTCTAAGACATTTCAGAGTATTCTCAGAAGCACAGATTGTCCTCTGCCACCAGGGGAGCTGTGTGTGGTGACATGGACAGGGCTTCATTGTCAACAGATGTCACTCTCATAATTTGGGCAATGCTGCTTCTCCCCAAAGCACCTCTGAGACCTGTTCACCCAGAGGACCGCACTGAGCATGCTCAGGAGCAGGGGCAGCTCCAGAAAGACCAGGAGCTGGAAGTAGATGCTGCTCAGCAGGGACCTGTGGGGGACAAGGTCACAATAAGCTCCCCTCCCAGAAGGTGGTGTGGGTGCCCTACACTGTGCCTGTCGCTTTTACCCAGGTGTGTGTCCACGTGCTCTTTTCAGGGACAAGAACAAAGGCAGCCCTGCCTGATTGACCAGGGTGACTGAGAGACCAAGAAGGACTCTGGAACTGTGGGCCTGGCCCATTCTCTCCAGTCCAACCCCATGGAACTCTACTCCTACAGCCTCTGTCCAGGCAGGCAGGCAGTGCCGCCCCCACCCACACCTGTAGTGATATTTCATTTGCATTTTAATAAAGTTTGCATGGAGATCATAGAGAAAAACAGCCCCACTGGTCAGCCTTACAGACCAGGCAGTGGTGACACACACCTTTAATCCCAGTAGCCACACTAGTTTGCCATTGAAACTGGGCAGTAATGGTGCACATCTTTAATCTCAGCGCTAGAGAGGATTATAAAATGGAAGGAGACAGCTCTCAGTTATTCTCATTCTGAGATTCCTGGAGGCAGGTTCGCCACCTCAGACTGAGGTAGAAGTAAGAGCCGGTGGCTGTCTGTTTTGCTTTTCTGACCTTCAGGTTGAAACCCAGATTTTGTCTCTAGGTTTTTATTAATCATGCTACACACACACACAACTTCCTTCTAACTTGAGTCTCCCTATCTCCTCCTGGTGCCCTGGAACTCCTTACGTAGTCCTTGAACTCACAGAGATCCACCAGCCTCCACCTACCAAGCACTGGGATTAAAGGCTTTTGTTACCACACCCAGCAACTGTATTTATTTTCATTAGTTGAGTAATTAACTTAGTGGCCTGTGTGTATGTTCATCGGTGTGTGTTCATCTGTGCGTGTGTTCATCTGTGTGTGTTCATCTGTGTGTATGTTCATCTGTGTGTGTGTTCATCTGTGTGTGTGTTCATCTGTGTGTGTTCATCTGTGTGTGTGTTCATCTGTGTGTGTTCATCTGTGTGTGTGTTCATCTGTGTGTTCATCTGTGTGTGTTCATCTGTGTGTGTGTTCATCTGTGTGTGTGTTCATCTGTGTGTGTGTTCATCTGTGTGTGTTCATCTGTGTGTGTTCATCTGTGTGTGTTCTTCTGTGTATGTGTTCATCTGTGTGTGTGTTCATCTGTGTGTGTGTTCATCTATGTGTGTGTTCATCTGTGTATGTTCATCGGTGTGTGTTCATCTGTGCGTGTGTTCATCTGTGTGTGTTCATCTGTGTGTGTTCATCTGTATGTGTGTTCATCTGTGTGTGTGTTCATCTGTGTGTGTTCATCTGTATGTGTGTTCATCTGTGTGTGTTCTTCTGTGTATGTGTTCATCTGTGTGTGTGTTCATCTGTGTGTGTGTTCATCTATGTGTGTGTTCATCTGTGTGTGTTCATCTGTGTGTGTGTTCATCTGTGTGTGTGTTCATCTGTGTGTGTTCATCTGTGTGTATGTTCATCTGTGTGTATGTTCATCTGTGTGTGTTCATCTGTGTGTGTTCATCTGTGTGTGTTCATCTGTGTGTGTGTTCATCTGTGTGTGTGTTCATCTCTGTGTGTGTTCATCTGTGTGTGTGTTCATCTGTGTGTGTGTTCATCTGTGTGTATGTTCATCTGTGTGTGTGTTCATCTGTGTGTGTGTTCATCTGTGTGTGTGTGTTCATCTGTGTGTGTGTTCATCTATGTGTGTGTTCATCTGTGTGTGTGTTCATCTGTGTGTGTTCATCTGTGTGTGTGTTCATCTGTGTGTGTTCATCTGTGTGTGTTCATCTGTGTGTGTGTTCATCTGTGTATGTTCATCTGTGTGTGTTCATCTGTGTGTGTTCATCTATGTGTGTGTTCATCTGTGTGTGTGTTCATCTGTGTGTGTTCATCTGTGTGTGTTCATCTCTGTGTGTGTTCATCTGTGTGTGTGTTCATCTGTGTGTATGTTCATCTGTGTGTGTTCATCGTGTGTGTGTTCATCTGTGTGTGTTCATCTGTGTGTGTCTTCATCTGTGTATGTGTTCATCTGTGTGTGTGTTCATCTGTGTAGGTTCATCTGTGTGTGTGTTCATCTGTGTGTGTTCATCTGTGTGTGTGTTCATCCCAGGTCAGTGTAGGATTGGGAGATGCAGGAGATGCCCAAGGAAGGGATGCAAATCTTCTCCCTCCACCCTCTCAGCATTATCCCCCCCCCCCATGATCCAGAGGCCTCAGGGATATGGGTTCCTCACCGAGGTTGTAGACTGGGACCAGGAGTTGTGTCCTCTGTGGTCACACTGGGCTGAGTGTGCACTGGTGAAGATGTAGGAGACCCCAGGGTATTTGTTTTGTCCTTAGGGGCAGAGCCTGTGATAGGAGTAAAATATAGAAACACAGGACAGTCTCAGTCACCGCCACTCCATCTCCTACCCACTGACACCTCTGCAGCTCTGCTTCACACAGGACCCTAGGGACATGGTTGGCAGCTGTCCCATAGCTTGTAGGCTGATGACCACACCAAAGCCTGGCCAGGGCCTCCCTTCCCATGGTGCTTTGTGGCTGGCTGGCACCTTCACACTTGAGGCCAACCTTCCTACAGAGGAAAGTTTAAGTGTCAGTGTCAAGACACGTGTTACCAGGTCCCATCTGGCCTCAGTCCCACCTTTGCCTCCTTCTCCCTTGTGGGGACAGACACAGAGTGGTGGGACCCTGTCTGCCTGGCCCACTCATTCCCACACTGTCAGCCAGACAGCCCACTGGGCATTCATTTCGGAGGCATGTCCAGATGGAAAGTTCTAGAAAGGCAGATGCTTGAAGGACCCTGTGGAGAGTGGCCTCTACTGAGGAGAACTCATGACTTTAGTAGATTTGATCCACACTCCTCAGTGTGAACCCACAGAGGATGCTGGAGGGAAGTTTATGTGAGGGGGAAATCCGCACTGAGAACCAGAACAGGAAGCTGGGTGTGGGGATGCCAGTGCAGGAGAGGCAGAGCCAGGAAGATCAGTCATTCAAGACGAATCCCAACTACACTGGGTTTGTGGCCAACCTGGGCTACACAAAACCTTCTTTCAGAAAAGAAAATAAAAACTGACAGAGAATTTCAGCCCTTCAGCCCCTGCCACCACCCTGCTCATATTAAAGAGATGTATTAATTGGGGTTCCATGACCAAGGGAACCTCCGTAAAGAAAAAATGGAATACAGGCATGGTAAACATTGGGACAAAAGTAGCTGAGTTCCCCTTGACCTCTGCCTGGGAAAGGAAACTTTTCGGGGATTCTCTGAGTTTCTTCCTGCAGGACATTGTTCCTGGGAAATGGGGACACAGAGGAACTTGGAGGGGTTGAATGGATTCCTCAGGGATCAAGAACCCCGATATACAATCTAGGCTCCTTTTGTGTCTCCGGTTCCTCTCAGAAGCCCCAGAACCACTGTGATGAAGTTGGTCCCTCAGGCCCTTCATGTAAGGGAGGTGTCCACTCAGTCCCAGGCCAGAGCAGCCCTTGATGGAGGGGAGCAGATGTGCTGGGGTTCTGTTACCACATGGAGATGGGGACAGGACCAAATGAGACCTGGAAAAGAGGACTTGCCTCCTATTGGACCAGGAAGTCACAAAGAACCAGGCATTCAGGGCCTGTCTCTAGAAAGGTTCGAGCTTGAGACTGTCACATGGGACACACAGAGAATCTCCAACAGGGACTGATGATGCAGCTATGTGGGTAAAGGCTCTTGGTTGCAAGCCTGATGAGCTGAGTTTGAGCCCCTGGACCCACACTGTGGAAAAGAAAACTAAGTTCAAGAAACTCTCCTCTGACTGACACACACCATGGACAAGTCTGGTGAGTAAGAAAATAAGTAAATAAATAAATTTACTGAAGAGAAATTCTAAGAAGTCAGGTTCCCCATAGTGCCAGTGTGTGCATGCACACGCATGTACTGGAGTACATACACTACCACACCACCCATGCTCTCACAATGGCACGAGTGGACTCACACTCCCTGTGTCTGATTCACCAAGCTCACCATGGTACTGTATCTGGATTCCTTCTTTCACGAGGGAATGACAGACCAGGACACAGGATGCCAGGACATGAAGGGGGCTTACCTGGTACTACGGACACCACAACCTTGAAGGAGTCATCAATCCCGAAGAGAGAGCCATTCATAATCGGTACATCCACTCTACACTTGTAGGTGCCTGCATCCTCCCAGGTGAAGTTCTCCATGGTCACTGTGAAGGTGAGGTTGGCTGGGTGGTCCCTGATGGACACTAGGCCATTCCTAGCTTCTCTTCCAGGTCTGGTCTTGACAATCTCTTTACACAGTAGCAGCAGCGAGTCTCTGCACCAGTATTTGGTGTTGCTCCTGTATTTCTCCTCATACTGACACCGCACACTCAGGGATTCCCCCACGGCGCCTGTCACGGTGCTGGGGCCACTCAGAGGGACACAGCCTGGAAAACACAAACACCAGTACTGCACCCTCACAGCTGGATGGGGGTCAGGCCTCCCTTGGTCAGGTCTTAGAGAGCGCTCTGGTCTGGAGGAAGCAATGAGAAAGGAGACAGGCTTTGTCAGACCCAGGAGCAAGGGCTGAGGTGAGTGCCTATATTGTCCAGAGAAAGGAATGACCTAGCAGGAAACAACTCTGTGTGTGTGTGTGTGTGTGTGTGTGTGCGTGTGCGTGTGCGTGTGCGTGTGTCTCACAGTGAGAAAGAGGACCCAGAGAGAGAGAGAGAGAGGGAGAGAGACTTTACTTACGTACATATATGAATGTATATCTCTGTGGGTGGCATATGTGTCTTTGTCAGATTGAGTGCTTGTGTGTGTTTGGTATGCACACATATGTACACAGATACATGTGTGTACACAGAGATTGTGTGGTTTTCAGGCAATGACTTCGCAGCTAACCCTCTCAGCAGGTCCTGACTGTCTCAGGTGTGGCTGACATGACAGTACTGAGCCTGACTGCACCTGTGAGGCCAGGCTGGTCACTCCTACCCACTGTCTAAACCCCATCTTCCTCTGCTGGCTGATCTTTCCCGCCTCCCATCCCCCTGTCATGCCCTCTCACTTACACCACGAGTTCCCCTTTCAAAGCTGAAAGCTTCCACCCTGTCACGGTGCTCACCTGGGACCTGCAGGAGGAGCAGAGCTGAAGGCAGCCACACTCCCAACACTCTTGGGGTCATTTCTTCAGCTCAGATGTCTCCTGCACCCACACCAAGCCCAAGAGAGGAGAAGGGACGCCTCCTTCTAGAACGTACAATGCACATGTGCCTTGTTCTCCTTCCTGTCCTCTGCTTCCTGCTCCTGTATGAGACCCCAGATGAACCGGTACAGGAAGTGCTCTGAAGATGCTCCAGTTCAGCGGTGCTGGTTCCTATCATTCCCAGTGAGGGGCACATCCATGGTCACCTGAGGATGTCACCTGCCCCTAGCTCTCAGCTAAGGGCTTCTTAACTTGCCCACTCCTGGCACAGCCTGGAGAGCATTTCCTTTTTTGTTCATGTTGATGAACCTCGGAGACACGTCACTTCCTGACTGGACTTGTGAGCTGTCCATCATCTTTTGCTCCATCTCTGTGAGCACGGAGGAACCATCTCCTTCCAATAGTCAGATAAGCCGTCCACAGCATGCTCTTAGTCCAGGGTCTCTGGCTCCATTTATGGCTTCACACAGCTGGTCAAGCTTACACTGTTATCCTGATTCCTTTATCAGAGTTCACCTTATACTGAGTTTCTCCCCCCCCCCCACACACACACAAAGGGTACAGACCTGGAGGTCACAACTCTCACTCCCCATCCATCTTATTCTGATTGGCTGTTGTTCCTTTGTTTGTATCAGCATCTCTAGCTCAGGTCGGCCCCATACAACTAAGGATGACCTTGAATTGATCCTCCTGCTTCCACCTCCTGAATCTGGGTATTGTAGGTGTGTGCCACCACACCCCATCCATGCTGTGCTCAGAATTGAGCTTGGGGCTCCATGCATGCTAGGCAAGCACTCTACCAACTGAGCTATGTCTCAGACCTTGTTCATTTGAGACAATATCTCACATTGAAGCCCAGGGTGGACTGCAATGTCCTATTTAGCTCTAGCTGAACTTGAACTCACAGAAGTTCTCCTCCCTTGATTCTATCCGATGACTCTGTCTTCTGATGTCTCCTGGACCCATATCTAGACTTGGACCTGTTGTCATTATTTTGGGTAGATGCTGGGTGTTGGGAGGAGGATGAATAACAACCTCAGGTCTCTCCATTCTGATACCTCTATTCGCAATTCTGGCATTACACCTCCCTCTTATGCTGGGGGAGAAGGCAAGAGAATGTTTCCTGGAGCCCGGTGAGGCACCTAACCTTAGAGGCATCTGCACCTCTCTGATATGTGTCAGTGTCTGGAGACTGTGGTGACATTTGTGGGGACATTGGCACTTGCTGTGTCCTGACTCGTGGCTCTCCTCTGAACATCCACACTTATTCCACTCATCTCTAATCCCTGTGAACAGATAACGCAGGGATCTCTCATTGTATCACTTTCTCCATTTCTTGCCTCTCCCACATCTTCAGGATGTCTGTATGCATTTCGTCTGTGTCCATAGTGTGTGCTCTACAGAATATTGGATTAACAAAGCAAAGAAACCACTTTGTCCATTCACTAGGGGACACCAAATCTTGGTATCTGTGTAGTCACTATTCTGTTGCTATGAAGAGACAACCATGACCAAACAACTCATATTAGAGAAAGCATTTCATTGGAGGCTTGCTTGCAGTTTCGGTGACTCAGTCCATTCCCACCACAGTGGAGAGTAAATGGCAGACATGTTGGGCAAGGTCCTGGAGACTTAGCTGAGAGCTACATCCTGATTTTCATGATGAGAGAGAGAGAGAGAGAGAGAGAGAGAGAGAGAGAGAGAGAGAGCGCTCTTGGCTGAGCAGTAGCTAATGGAGATCAGTGATTGTGTTCTGATTCAGCTCTGTCCTATAGGAGACCTCTGACCTCTGGTGTCTCCTCAGCACAGGACTTGATTCATAACACAGCATATGACTCATAACAGAGCTTAGCAAACACATCAGTCCTTACACTCTAGCCCAGACATGAGGACTGTGGTAAGGGGGATCACATTCCAGGTGGTGTAAGTGTAGACTGCTTGTTCATTTTCTTGCCGCCCAGACCCAAAAAATAACACAGAAACTATATTAATTACAACACTGTTTGGCCAATATCTTAGGCATATTCCTAGTTAGCTCTTGCATCTTACATTAACCTACTTCTATTAATCTATGTATCATCACTAGTCTGTGGCCTACCAGTAAGTTTCCAGCGTCTATCTCCTTTGGTAGTTACATGGTATTTCTTTGATTCTGCCTACTCTCTCTCCCTCTATCTGTTAGGATGTTCTGCCTGTCTCTACACTGCGAAGTCATTGGCCAAAACAGCTTTATTTATCAAACAATAAAAGCAACACATATACAGAAGGATGTCCCACATCATCTACATTGAGTGCCAATTTGTAGTAGTACCAAAGTGTTCCACAAAAGTCCAGAATAGAGTAGAACAAAGATTTATTTATTTGGGGATAACTTCACAGTAAGAGTAGCAATTCACAGTCTTCTCTGTGTGCTGTGAACTGAAACCAAATCCAACAGAAAAGAGGACTGTGAATACTTTTTGTCTGCACTTATAGTACATGAGACCAGTTAAAAAAAAATGGGCCGGTATTTTAAAGGCTATTCACTGAAGGAATTCCCACAAGGTGGAGTCACAGAACACCCTATAAATGGCAAGTCAATGTATACAACACAATGCTACATACCCTTCATGCTGAAGACTTGAGTGAGGACAAGGGACTCAGAAATATTGGGGATGGTCCATGGCTGAGCTGTTAGGTGTCCCTCACCCTGATCTTGAATCACTCTGCAAGGAGCTGCATTGGTTAGATAAGCTTTGTACAGTTAAGAAACACACACATCATTGAGAGCTACATAGGAATTTATAAACAGTGTTGTGACATGAAGCTCTACATAGGATCTGGATTCCTTCCTGTGCCTTCATATGGCTACTTAGAAGCCCCAAGACCTCTTCAAGGAGTCTGATGTCTCAGGGGCTCCGTGGGCCTCGGGGATGGCTCACGATGTAAAGTGCTGGCAGTGTGAGCAGGGTGACTAGAGTTTAGACCCATCAAGATAGGATTTATAATGGAATATTTTATTGGAATTTTGCCAAATACAAGTGGCATTGATATTGTGAATGTAATTCTTATTTGATAACTGTTCTAATATGTTGTATTTTGTTTTTCTATGTTAAAATTAAATCCTTTCTTTTTATGTAGACAAAAGGGGGAAATGTTGTAGGATATTATTTTCGCTATGTAAAAATGTGTTACATTTGTTTATGCAGTGGAATATTGGTTTAACTGCGTAAAATGTGTTGGTTTCTGGTGCATTTGTTTAATTATGTAAAATGTGTTGCTGTTTCCGCTTGCCTACCTAAGGCAACTGATTGGTCTAATAAAGGTCTCATTGGCTGAATAGCTAGGCTGAGAATGGATAGGAAGAAAAAAATGTAGGCATGAGAGAAGAGAAGAGAAGAGAAGAGAAGAGAAGAGAAGAGAGGAGAGGAGAAAAAAGAGAAGAGAAGAGATGTACTAAAAAGAGGAGAAAATAAGGTAAAAAGAGAGGGAGACTCCTGTGGTCAGCTGCACAGACACCAAGACAGCAGAAAAGTCAGATAAACACAAAGAATTAAAGGTAAAACTCCCATGTCAAAATGTAGATGAGGAGAATGGGTTAATTTAAGTTATAGAAAAAAATTATCCAGAAATAAGCAAAAGGAAGGCCAAACATTCAAAATGAATAAGAAGTCCCCATGTCATGATTTGGGAGTTGGTTGGTGGCCTCAATAAAAAAGCCTGGTACATATGTTTTTGGGTGGGGTGTGTGGCTATGTGAGAACGTATATTTGTATGTGTGCATGCAATGAAGCCATTATTCATGCTGTATTGTTACAATCACGGACATCACAATCACTACTACTAAAGCTCGCTGACTCTGTCTCAGAAAGAGGACCATTGGCAAGGTATGTGTGTGGTATATACTGCTGTGCAAAGCTTGGTATACATATTTACATCTGATGAGTACACTATATATACATCATGTGTGTAGCATGTGTAGCTTTGTGAGGCATGACATACACAAATATGATATGTGTGGTATATATCTATCACATGCAGTATGTGCATTGTGCACTACATGTATTATTGTAAGTATGCTGTGTGTTGCATACATGTGTGTGGCATGTGTAGCACATGTGAGGGATGTTCACATGTGTATGGTATGATATACACATTACAGTGTGTGTGTGTGTGTGTGTGTGTGTGTGCGTGTGTGTGTATGAAAAGCCATGTACCTTCTTTATCCTGAAGAGAAGGTTCCAATGGCAATGGTGGATATGCCTTGGGTAGCCAGACCTTTCCTGTGTAGCCATAGTCCAGTGATTGGCCAGGCTACTTGGGTGAACTCTGAGAATGTGGGTCCCAGGAGCTGGCCCTGTCTCTGGGAGCCTTGCTCTCTTGATAGAATGCAGGAGTGAGGGCTGCTCCATGTATCCTTCTTAGAAGTGAAAGGGAGAGTTGGAAAGGAGGAGTCATAGCTGCTGATGCTCCCAGAAATGCATTCTCACCATCCCCATCCCAAACCCCTGTGGACACAGGTTGGATTCATCAGCAAAACCACACACTCTAGACTGAGTGACCACACAAGTTTATTTCTTGTTCTTGGAAAAACTGAGTCAGCTAATCCTACCCCTGCCCCGGATGAAGATGCCTCGAGTTTTCTCCAGGTGGCAGGAAACCACATGGTGGCCCTTAGTCTCAGCTCTGAGGATGCCTGTGTCACACAAACTCACAGGATCATGGGGGGACAGGAAATACACCCTTCTCTGCAGGAACAGCGGGGACAGCCACTCTGTGGGTGAGTCCCGGGGATCCAGTGACCTTAAGCAACCTTGGGGATATAGCTCTGTTCTATGAGTCCTGGGGATCCAGTGACCCCACTTGACCTTGGGGACCCCAATCACAGAAAAAAGGTTAGACTGAACTCAAATGTATTTATTGACAAGGATTAGGGTCATTTGGAATGGTTGTAAGCATTACAGCCATCATGCTGACTCTTGGAGTATGTATGTCTCACAGATGGATTAGGAGCATTGAACCACAAGAGCAGGATGGGAGGTGGTGAGGGGGT